AGAGAGCAGTCTGGACCAGAGGTGATCTGAGCAGTGGCTTGTAGGAATGGTAGGAACCACTCATATAGATCCAAATGCTTAGGGAGAATATGTAGAGTCAGAGGGGAAATGTTTAAGGTGGAACAGGGAGGCCAGGAATATCTAAGAGACAGCAGGTGGGGGAGTGAGTGCCTGGCCCCAAAGAAGCTAATGCAGTGTGGTCTGAGTGTGAGAAGTCAGACTGAGTAGATGAGGCATAAGGGGAGATGGGACATGAAGACCACTTTTTCAAGAGATAACTAAGCAGGAGGCAGACGGTAAAAGCAGTACCTGGAGGGGAAGGTACAGTTAAAGGAACTTTAAATTTACTTTTTGACTTCTTTTAAACTTTTTATTTGAAAATTGTCTTAAATATATATAGAAATATGTCAAGAATAAGAATGGTAAAAAGATAGCCTTTACTCATATTCACTGATAGCTGACATTTTACTTCATTTAGTCTTCTCTCTTTTGCTCTTTCATACATGTGATTTTTTTTCTAAACCATTTGAAGATAATGCATAGGTCATGGCCTCCTGCCCCTAAATACTTCAGCATACATTTACTAAGGATAGGCATATTCTCTTGCCTGAGTACAATACAACTGTCAACTTCAGCACATTTAAAGTTGATACTTTGCAGTCAGTATTCCAGTTCTGTCAGTTGGCACAATTATTCTTTTATCATTTTCCTTCCAGTACAGAGCCACTGCAGGTCAGGTATTAAGTGTAGTGGTCTAGTCTCTTTAGCCTTTTTTAATCTGGAACGTTTCTATAGCCTCTCTTTTCTTTTATGAAAGTGATACTTTTGAAGAATACTACAAATACTACTTAGAGTAGAATAGTCTATATTTTGGATTACCTGATGTTTGCTTGTGATTCTGAAGCTATGCATTCTCATAGGTGATATGTCCTCAGGATGTCACTTCTGGAGCATGTGATGTGCCTCTGCCACCATTGCTGATCTTAATTTAGAACACTTGGCCAAGGCATTGTCCGATTTTTCCAGTGTGTAGTTACTGTTTTTTCCCTTTCATTCTGTGGGGAATATTTCAAGCTCATGTGTATATACTGCCCCTTCTCAAAATTTCCCCCCACACTTAGAATCCAATGATCGCTCTGCCCTGATCCATTCTGCTCAGATAGTTACAGAATGCTGATTTTGTTTGTTTTTTTTTTTTCAACTCAGCTCTCCCCACATTTACCAGCTAGCCCTGATATTCTGCTGTAAATAAGTGGCCTCTCTTTCTCCCCTGTTTGTATATGTATGGATTCACAAAATCCTATTTTCAGTGGTTTATAATTCTTACTGTATGTAATTATTATGGAGCCTAAATTGGGTGGTCAAGCTGACTTGTGGTCTTGTGACATGTGCCTGTCATTTTTAACTATCTCCTTACTTGTTGGAGTAACAAGATGCTGTTCATCTTGTGTGTATTCTGCCCCAGCCTAGAATCTGCCATTTCTCTGAAGAGCTCTGGTTCCTTTTAGTAGGCAATGGGAGTAGAGACCAGGAACAGGGTGCTGGATGTCCTTACTACCACTAAGGTGTTTTTTGCTTCTTAGCTTTTCAGCAGAGAGCTAGGGAATATGTGTACATATATACACATACAAATATACACACACGTGAATGCATAGATGTGTGTGTGCGCACAGGTAATTTAGAAATCGTGAATTCACACCGATTATCTGATTCATCCCCATAGGGTTCTTTCTTGCCCTCCCCTATTCCATATTTGGAATTTGATTCTTCTTCTAGGAGAGCCCTGGCTTGCAACTAAATCAACACATTTACTCAGTCCCCCAACACATCTAAAATTGCTTCAAATTACTTTGTTCATACCTCTGCAGAAGACAAAGCTGCTTAAAAATTCATGTGTTTTCAGGCATTCACCACCACCCTCTCCATCCTTCCCAAGACTGAGGTATATGGTTACATGTTCTGTGATATTATATGTCTAAATTATGGGTTCTTTGTTTCTTTTTGTTCCCTTCCTATGGTTACAGTATCCATGTGAAACACAATTGAGTTCATATGTTGCCGTTTGCTTTGTGGTTTAGCTGCTTTTCCTTTTTCCAGTTCTCATTGATTTAATTTTATTCTTTGAATATGCAGAACATTATCATGCTTCCATAGTAAAAACTGTGCAGAAAGCTGTACTTAGAATGTCTCTCTTCCCTGCCCCTCTGCTCTTTTCTTCCCACTTCACCACCTACAGAGAATGGGGCTTTCTTCATTTCTGGTTTCTCTCATTATTATAAAGATAAGCAGTTATATCTTTGTTTTCATATTTTTCTTTCTGTGAAAAAGCAGAGCATATATGCTCTTTTTCTCTTTACATGGTATCCTGGAATTTGCTCCCTCTCAATCAGTTGATAGAGGTGTTCCTCTTTCTTGCTTAGTACTCCATTGTATACATGTGCCATAGTTTATTTAACTGGTCTTCTATGCTAGGACACTCGGGTAGTTATCTGGATTCTGTAGTTACAAACAGTACTACCATGAATAGCTTTGTGCGCATGTACTTTTTTGTATTGTTGGAAGTAGATCTTCAGTATAAATTCCTAGATGGGATTTCTGGATTGAAGTGTAAATACATACAGTTCACTTAGCTATTGGCAGATGCCCCTCAATGGGGGTTATGCTGCTTTACAGTGCCATTAATATATGAGAGTGCCTTTTTCCACCACAACCTCTCCAACAATGTGTGTTGTGCTTTTTAATATGACAGATGAGAAGTGGTATCTTAGTGTAGTTCTTATTTGCATTTTTTTTTAAGATTTTATTTATTTATTTGACAGAGAGAGAGATTACAAGTAGGCAGAGAGGCATGCAGAGAGAGGAGGAAGCAGGCTCCCTGCGAGCAGAGAGCCTGACGTGGGGCTCGATCCTAGGACCCTGAAATTATGACCTGGGCCGAAGGCAGAGGCTCAACCCACTGAGCCACCCAGGCATCCCTGCATTTCTCTTATGAGTGGAATTAAAAACATGTTTAAGGGACATTTTAATATTTCTTTTTGTGAATTGTCTGTTTTTGTCTTGTACATTTTTCTATAGGAATTTTAGTATATTTTTTCAACTTCTGAAAAGTTTTTATATAAGAGATATTAGTGCTTATATATGATGCATGTTGCAAATATTTTTTCATTTGTCATTTCTCAATTTTGCTTATAGCATGAAATTTATATTTGCCATGTAAGTTATATTTATACAGTCAAATTTATCCATTCCTTCTTATTGCCTGTGAGTCATAGTTTGAAAACTTTTTCTGTATGCAGGTTATAAAGGTATTCTCTCATGTTTTCTTTCAGTATTTGTATGGCAGCACGTTTTTATATTTAGAGCTCTGCTCCATTTGGAGTAACATTCTTGAGTGTGGTGTGAAGAATGATCTAATTTTATCTTTTTCCAGGTGGCTTTAGAGTTGTTCCAACACTAAAGACCATCTTTGCTCCAAGAATTTGATATATCATCTTTATCATTGCTTGATTTCTGTGTGTGATTAGGATTACTTCTGGACTTTCTGTTCTTTTCCTTTGGTCTATACACTGGTACCATGCTGCTTTTGTTGTAGAAGTTTTGTGGTATATTTTAATACCTAATGGGGCTAGTCCCGACTCACAGCCCTTTTATGTTTCTTTCTAGTAATTTTTTTGTTTTTGTTTTTGTTTTTTTAATTTTAAGTAGGCTTCAGGCCCAGCATGGACCTTGAAATCAAAGATCCTGAGACTGTGAGTCCTATGCTCTACTGACTAAGCCAGCCAGGCACCCCTTGTATATTTGTTTTAGAGGATTTGGTTTTATGGGTGTAGGAACTTGAACATCTTTCTCTCCTGAGGGCCAAGGATGAATAGAGGTGGAGGGGCCAAGGCCAAAGGGAATTAATGGAGCATGGACCCTGATGTGTGTGGGAGCAGGATTCAGAGCACGGATAAAAGGCACGTTGCTGGGTATGGTTATGGAATTCCACTGCCTGCCCAGTAGGCCTCAATTTAAGCAACATGGACAAGTGGAGTACTTTCAGGGGGAACAAAGAATTCCTGCCTGAGACCTAAAATCTGTTTTAGGAAGGAGTTTACCTTTCCTGAGTCCTGTGCTTTATACCCAGGTTCCAGCCTGGATCAGATAACCCAACCTCAAATAATAAATAGTAATAACTAGGCATCTAGCACTCACCAAGTAGTAGGCATTGTTCACAATACTTTAAATAACTTTCTCAAGGTCACGCGGCTGGGTATTTCAACCCAGGCGGTAGTGTTTCCTTTGCTTGGCGGTTTGTATTTTAGCTTCTTATCTTCGATATGCTCCGATTGCAGTTAGCTTGTTCATAAAGTGGGCATGGAAGCCTCTGCCTGGCACTCTGGAGCACGCTGTTCCATGCAGATTCCCCCGACTGCCCAGTCTCCAGGGTCAGGTTTTCCGTGCAGGGGAAGTCCCAGGAGGCCGGACCAACTCCAGGAAGCTGCAGTTTGCTTTCTTTCTCATGTCTGTCGTGACTCTCTTCATGGTTTCATTCCCATCGCCCTAATACCATCACTTAGGTACTGATTTCTTCTTTTTAGCTTTGCCTCTTTAGTTCTGCTGATTATGTCTCTTTTGTCTTATTATTTTTCTGCTTCTTATTCAGAGATTTCTTCTGGTTTTTGTTTTTTCATTACTAGGTGATCATTCCCAAAAACTGATCAATGTTGTCCTTGGTTCTGTGCATCATTTCAACTTGCCCTTATGCTAAACTGTTATGCAAGAATAGAAAAGCTCTTTGGTCCATTGAAAATCCAGGGCTCTAACATTTTAACATTAACTCCAAAGGGGCAGAAATTTTGGCATGTCGCATCTTGTATCCCCTGCAGCTAAAAATGGTACTTGATCACACAGCATGCAGTCAATAAACATTTGTCAAGTGAATGAGTAAATTTGGTTGTAATTCTTCCAGTTTCCTCTAAACAAAGTGAACAGGTATCATTTTCATTTTCTTGCTTTAGTGTCACATTTGAAGACGAGGGGCACTGAGGATGAGAAATCAACTGAAAAGTATGAAAATGTTGGAAATGCAGAATCTTTGTGGCCAAAAGTGGAAGGTCTTCATAAGGATCGTATACAGGAATATAAGGTTGGTGAAACTTGTGATTGGAATAGCAAGGTAGAGAATCAGCTGCAAAATCCTGAGGGAAGAAGAATGAAGGAAGATAAAAGTGGCATCAGGGAAAAGATCGACAAAGCCAAGAACGCAGCAAATATAAAGACGGAACGGGAAGACGAGGCATCTGAGAAAAGCTTACATCCAAGTTCAAAACATGTTATACACCAGACTCTCTCTGTAGAACAGATAAGCAGTGAACAAGACAGATGTGTGGAGAACTTTAATGGAACCTCTCATCCTGGTCTGCAGCAGAAAACCAGTGCTGTTAAGAAGTCACACAAATGTGATGAGTGTGGGAAGTCATTCAAATATAATTCCCGCCTCGTTCAACATAAAATTATGCACACTGGGGAAAAACGCTACGAGTGTGATGACTGTGGAGGGACTTTCCGGAGCAGCTCCAGTCTTCGAGTCCATAAAAGGATCCATACTGGGGAGAAGCCCTATAAGTGTGAGGAGTGTGGGAAAGCCTACATGTCCTACTCCAGCCTTATAAACCATAAAAGCACCCATTCTGGGGAAAAGAACTGTAAGTGTGATGAGTGTGGGAAATCCTTCAATTACAGCTCTGTTTTGGACCAGCATAAGAGGATCCACACAGGAGAAAAGCCCTATGAATGTGGTGAGTGTGGGAAGGCTTTCAGGAACAGCTCTGGTCTCAGAGTCCACAAAAGGATTCACACAGGGGAGAAGCCCTACGAATGTGACATCTGTGGGAAAACTTTCAGTAATAGCTCCGGCCTTAGGGTCCATAAGAGAATCCACACAGGTGAGAAACCTTATGAATGCGATGAGTGTGGGAAGGCCTTCATTACTTGCAGAACACTTCTAAACCATAAAAGCATCCACTTTGGAGATAAACCTTATAAATGTGATGAATGTGAGAAATCGTTTAATTACAGCTCTCTCCTCATTCAGCATAAAGTGATCCACACTGGAGAGAAACCTTATGAATGTGATGAATGTGGGAAGGCCTTCAGGAACAGCTCAGGCCTTATAGTGCACAAAAGGATCCACACAGGAGAGAAACCTTACAAGTGTGATGTCTGTGGCAAAGCGTTCAGCTATAGCTCAGGCCTTGCCGTTCATAAAAGCATTCACCCTGGGAAAAAAGCTCATGAATGTAAGGAGTGTGGAAAATCCTTTAGCTATAACTCACTTCTGCTTCAGCATAAGACCATTCATACTGGAGAGAGACCTTATGTATGTGATTTGTGTGGGAAAACTTTCAGGAACAATTCAGGCCTAAAGGTCCACAGGAGGCTCCATACTGGGGAAAAACCATATAAGTGTGACGTGTGTGGGAAAGCCTATATCTCACGCTCTAGCCTTAAAAACCACAAAGGAATCCATCTTGGGGAAAAGCCCTATAAATGTACCTATTGTGAGAAATCTTTCAATTACAGTTCTGCCCTTGAACAACATAAAAGGATTCATACAAGGGAGAAACCTTTTGGGTGTGATGAGTGTGGAAAAGCCTTCAGAAATAATTCAGGCCTTAAAGTACATAAACGGATCCACACTGGGGAGAGACCTTACAAATGTGAAGAATGTGGGAAAGCCTACATCTCACTCTCAAGCCTTATAAATCATAAAAGTGTACACCCTGGGGAAAAGCCCTATAAGTGTGACGAGTGTGAAAAAGCCTTCATCACATACCGAACCCTTATAAACCACAAAAAAATCCATCTTGGGGAGAAGCCCTACAAATGTGATGTATGTGAGAAATCTTTTAATTACACTTCACTCCTTTCTCAACACAAAAGGGTCCACACTAGAGAGAAACCTTATGAATGCGACAGGTGTGAGAAGGTCTTCAGAAACAACTCGAGCCTTAAAGTGCATAAAAGAATCCATACTGGGGAGAAGCCCTATGAGTGTGATGTATGTGGAAAAGCTTACATCTCACACTCAAGCCTTATTAACCATAAAAGTACCCACCCTGGCAAGACACCTTTCACATGCGATGAATGTGGAAAAGCTTTTTTCTCAAGCAGAACTCTTCTAAGCCATAAAAGAGTCCATCTTGGGGAGAAGCCCTTCAAATGTATCGAGTGTGGGAAATCTTTCAATTACAGTTCACTCCTTTCTCAACACAAGAGGATCCACACAGGGGAAAAACCTTATATATGTGATAGGTGTGGGAAGGCGTTCAGGAACAGCTCAGGCCTCACAGTGCATAAAAGGATTCACACAGGCGAGAAACCCTATGAATGTGATGAGTGTGGGAAAGCATACATCTCACACTCAAGTCTCATTAACCATAAAAGTGTCCATCGTGGGCAGCAGCCCTATAATTGCGAGTGTGGGAAGTCATTCAATTACAGATCAGTTCTTGACCAACACAAAAGGATCCACACTGGAAAGAAGCCATACCGATGTAATGACTGTGGGAAGGCTTTTAATATCCGATCGAATCTCACCAAGCACAAAAGAATCCATACTGGAGAGGAGTCTTTCAGTGTGACTGCTGTGGGGAGTCACAGTGACACATCACAGAAGAGAACTTATGAGGGAGGGGGTACTCTGGATATGACCAACATGAGCATATCTGTAGGTGGCCGAGCTTACCAAGTCTCAGCTCAAATGGAAGAAAAACCTTATGAATGTATGAACATCTGAGCTCTTTGTTCATTTGTAATTTACATAGTGTACATGAGACTGCCAGTGCTCTTCGGGGCGATCTGCATCACAGCCAACAAGGAAGCCTCCAGTGTCAAGGTAGTTGAGCCTGTATGGGACACAGTTTGTCCTGGGGATAAAACCGATCCAAGTAACAGTGATTTAAAAACCTTCCAAACAAGCAGACATTTCTGGACATAAAACACATGGATGAGGAAAGAACTTAGAGTTCATATAATTACCATCAGAAAGCTCATATTTGGGTAAATTTTGTGAATAGAAATAGGGGAAATTCAGGTATAGCTTTGAATCCTAATTATACATTGGTCGGTGGGAAAAATACAAGGAGGGCCTCCCAACAGGCAAATTCAGGAGAGAGATAGGCTTCAGGGAATAAAAATTTATTTAATAGTGGTGATTGTAAAGTATAAATTTGATATAATTGAGTAATTTGTGAGGGGTGATGATAAATTTTGAAACAAATTGGATTTGTTGTAGGAAGAATAAAAAGTATAGACATAAATCTAGCAGGAAATAGTAATTTTAAAAATGTAGGTTGATTGGACTATACGGTTGTAATGAAATACACTGAATGGGCAAAACTTTTTAAAAATTTTCAAATGAACCCCCTCAATGAATGATGAAGTGTGGTGAGTGAAAACATCACACATTATGCTACACATACAAGGTTCTGCCATAACCAGAAATTCAGCACATTAAATAACTAATGGAACACGTCTTCAACATGAATTTGCACCTACACAAAAATATTTGATTCAGGGATTCCTGTGAATAGGAATGCTGAGAAAGAGATTTTATTGGAAAAGCTAGAAAGCTAAGTACCTATTGATAATTGAGGGATTCGAGGAAATTCATGATTCTTAATATTCCTGTTAAATGTTTGATTGTTTTGGAATGTGTTATTGTAAAGATTTCATGCACTACATGTGTGTATTGTCTGTTGTAAAATGTTATGAATACTTTGTTCAGGGCTCACTCTGTCTTGGCCATGAAAAGCCAGATAGATATGGTGAGGTAAGGTGGAAGTCCAATAAAGAAACTCTTCAAAAGTGAACAGGCTCTGACTGACTTTAGATGGAACGGTACACAGAGAAAACAGTTTGTGTGTCACATGTTTGTGAGGTAAGTGAGACCAGGTGTGAGGCAGGGAGGGCAGCAGGGGACTTATCCCATAGGGCTAGTAGCTCAGGTTTCACAAGAAGTTACGTGGTGTCTCTACCAGGAGACGTGCAGAATGGACTGATGCTCATACGGGGCCTGGGTCATAGCTCCTGGGAGTGGGCAGGCTATAGGGCTGATCTGTCACCTCATACAAATACTTCCTTTGGGAACAGAACTTAACAAAATGTGGTTTGTGTGTTAAAGCTGTTAACAAGGTGACTCAAAGGGTAAAAGGAGTCTTCTGAGCATTAAGTAAGCTGTCCAAGAATACTTTGGATAGCGCCTGTCTGTAGAGGCTGAATCCTGGTCTTATCTGGGCTCCAAAATCCATTCTCCCTACCAGAGAGCAGTCTCCTCTAGCTGATAGTTTCCTGGCTTTCTAGGATTTGTCTCTAGCCGCATTGTAGTCTCTCATGGTTTCCCTGACCCTCTCTAGGTGTATAATTCTTTCACTTTGTCTCCAGCCTCCACCAGTAAGTTTTGATAGAAGGGGAGGGACAGAGCTAGGAAAGGAAGAGGGGAAGAGTATTTCTGCCATTCAGCTCCACTTACGTCACTGCCACACTTGTTATGTCTGTCTTGGAACACTGACCCTCTCCACAGACTTGGATTAATGGATTCAGCAATTACTCACTGAGGATCTGCTAGGCACAATCCCCTCTCCTAGGAGCTAGGCAGCAGGAGTAAATAAAGGGTAGGTAAGGGAGAAAGTCCTCAAGAAAACCACACTAATGGATACTGAACTGAACTCTGCAGTGTTGAGCGGAGAGTGACCGCCACCAAAGGGGAAGAGGGAGGCAGCGGGGGATATCTGGGTGGGACAGTTGGGTTTTTAAAGAGGAAGGAGCGGGAAATAGGATGGTTTGATTAAAGGCTTAATCAGAAAAGCTCACACATCTTCAGAAGGGGCTGGTCATTCAGGGTTGGTGTGTAATGGGCAGAAGGAAGGCCAAAGAATACCAATTCCAAGGAGTCACCAGGTCTCCACCTTTCATTTATTTGAGGCCACCAGCGGCTTTAACATCCCTCCTCCATGCACATACACACCCATGTACTTGAGCTCTACCTGGACCCAGTGTGCCTCCTACAGTGGGGAAACAGATGAAATAAGAGAGAGGATGGCTACCACTCAAATGGGAATTCTGAGTGATCCAGCCTGCCAAGCACTAGGACATGCTCCTGCTGAGGCCTCCACTGACTCCACTGACTCTGACCCACAGGAAGTGGGCCTCAGGGCCTCCAGTCCCCCTAGGGCCAGTAACACGCTGCTCAAGCTGATCTCACAAGATTTCCACTTGTGCCAGGTGGACTTTGTGGCACAGATTCGAGCTGTTCAGACTGGAGATGTTTAGGGAGCACCATCCGCCACCTCTTTCCAGAGAAAATGCCTGATGCGCAAGAAGAAAAACTTGCAACATGTAGGTAAATCTAAACAAAAAGGCAGAGTCTAATAATGCAAAGGACTAAAGATAGAATTGAAATGTTGGGGATGCCAGGGTGGCTCAGTTAAGCTGCTGCCTTTGACTCAGGTCATGGGTTCGAGTCCCGTATGGGGCTCCTTGCTTGGCGGGGACCCTGCTTCTCCCTCTGCTGGCTCTGCCTACACTCCCTCTGCTTATGCTCGCTCGCTCTCTCTGACAAATAAATAAAATCTTTGAAAAAAAAAAAAAAAAGAATTGAAATGTTGGACCCTAGTAGGTTAAATTGGAAGCTGGAAGATCCACATGAAAGTGCCCCAAAGTGCTTGTGTTATTTCTGGGGAGGTCAAGATGCTCTTAGCTCTGCATTTTGTTACGTTAACTATGTGTGGTAAAATGTCATGGGCAAGCCAGAAGGATCAAGTGTACAAAGTGTACGAAGTATCTAAAGATCTGGGCTGGAGAACCTCAAAATCTGGAAAGAATAAAACAACACTGAAAAGGCAGGGCAGTACCTTCTGGAAAAGGTGGGCTAGGTTAGTTGGGTCAGTTTCATACCAACAACCGTGAAAGTCTGCATTTTAAAAAAATGTAGATGGCATGCCACCCTTCCTCTCAAGAGAGCATTGAGGATAAAAAGACTGTAGTTTAAACAGACAGGACAGTTTAAAAATGAGATCCTGTCACCAGAGAGGGGAAAACCAAAGCAACTTCTGTCCTAAACTGTCAGCTGATGCTGCAGAGCTGGGTCCCACTTAACCAGCCTCAGGATAACCCTGGGGCTATACCCTGTTAACCAGCCACAGGGAGTGAGAGACAAGGTCAGGGCCAGGCCCACCCACAATGGAGAGTCTTATACGAGAACTTTCTGAAGTTAAGCTGGGTTCCCAAAGTGCCACATCCTCAAGAGAAACCATCCCTCCATCCTTTCTCTGTAGAGAAAGTGGCTGTTTACCTGAGCAGAGCAGTAGAAAAGAAAGGGAAAATAAAATCTCCCCAACACCTTGTGGTCGCCGACCAACCCTTATGACCCAGGTAAACACAACCTGAGCCCCAGCCAAAGCAACACAAGGCATCTTTGGAAGAGGACTTCTTCAACTAGACCTCAGGGAACATTTTAAAGTTCATTTTTCAGGAGCAGTTAATAAGTATGCGAAGATAATCAGGCACAAGGGGAAAAGGCAACATGACAAAACCAGAAAAGAACAGATTCATATAGACTTCACATACTATCAATTACTTTTAAAATTTTTTTTGTTTTATTTTGGCTTTTTTTGGCGGGGGGGGCTCTTTAAAAAAAACTGCTTAAAATATTTAAAGATGTATTTGGCTACAGATTGTGACAAAATTAAAAAAATTGGTGAACTCAAAGGTAAAGGTGAAGAAATTATCCAGAATGCAGTGCAGGGTTAGAAAAATATGGGAAAATAGGGAAAGGAAGGTTTCAGTGGGAAGTTTTACATGCAAATATATGTAAAGTTACAGTCTCAGAAGGCAAGGACAGAAAAAAGAGGGCCAAAGGGACTGGGACTGAGAATTTTCCAGAGCTGATGAAAAACGAAAGTCTGCAGATTGAAAAGCCCAAAGAATGCATTTACAAAAATCACATCTAGGGGTGCCTGGGTGGCTCAGTGGGTTAAAGCCTCTGCCTCTGCCTGGCTCAGGTCATGATCCCAGGGTTCTGGGATTGAGTCCCACATTGGGCTCTCTGCTCAGCGGGGAGCCTGCTTCCCCCCTCTCTCTCTCTGCCTGCCTCTCTGCCAACTTGTCTCTGTCAAATAAAATCTTAAAAAAAAAAATCACATCACACATCATAATGTAACTGTGGAAAAAGAAGAAAAAAATTAACAGCTAAGGAGAAATTACCTTCAAAGGGCAGGAGACTTCTCAGCAACAACAGAAGAAAGATTGGAATGAAAACATGAGTGTAAAGGTAGACAATGACCGTCTGCCCAAACATTCACACCCAGTGAAAATACCTCTCGAGAGTGAGGACAAAATAAATACATTTTAGAACAAAACTTGTTTCATTTTCCCCTGCTGACCCTCACTAAGAGCAATTCTAAAGAAGGCATTTTAATACAGAAAGAGAGTGATCCCAGATGATGTTCTGAGATGCAAAAAGGAAGAGCAAAGAGTAAGAGCTATGTAGGCAAATGTAAATGAACATTTTTTGTACAAAACAAAGATTTAAAGTTGTTAAGATAGACTCAAAATACCAGACAACAATAATATCTGTCAAGAGAGAGTAAAAAAGGATTCAAGTATAATATGATGTAAGGCTTTGGTTAATATCATACACATTGTAAAATCCAGGGGAATCATGAAATAGAATATATATTCTTAATACTAGTAGAGGAAAAATGAATTTTTTTAAAGATTTTATTTATTTATTTATTTGACAGAGATCACAAGAAGGCAGAGAGGCAGGCAGGGAGAGCGAAGGGGAAGCAAGCTCCTTGCTGAGCAGAGAGCCCGATGCGGGGCTTGATCCCAGGACCCTGGAATCATGACCTGAGCCTAAGGCAGAGGCTTTAACCCACTGAGCCACCCAGGCACCCTGGAAAAATGAATTTTTAAGAGATCAATTAAAAACAAAAGAAAAAAACAGGAGAAGGAGAAGGAAAAACAGTGGCAGATCTTAAGCCAAAAATACGAGTATTTCTTTTTAAATGACAAAGATTGTCAAAAAATGTCTTAGTCAATTCAGGCCACTATAACAAAATACCATAGACTAGGTGGCTTATCAACAACAGAACTGTATTTCCCACAGTTCTGGAGCCTGGAAGTTGAAGGTCACAGTGGTTAGAGATCAGTATGGTTGGGTGAGGGCTCTCTTCCAGGTTGCAGATTTCTAATTATACCCTCATGTGGTGGAAAGGGCTGGGAAGTTCTTTGGGGTCTCAGATAATAGCCCTGATCCCATTCATCAGGGCTCCACTCTCATGACTCAATCACTTCCCAAATCCCAACTTCCTAACACTATCACACTGGGCATTAAGATTCCAACATGTGAATTTGGGGGGAATATGAACATTCACACTGTAACAGGACAAAAATCTAAAACTCCACTGTATACTGTGTACAAAAGAATCACCTTAAATATGAAGACATTCAAAATTTTGAAAGTAAAAGAATGGGAAAAAAGTTATTTGAAGCAAATAGTAACCATTAGAAGCTGGTGTAGCTCTACTAATATTAGATGAAATAAATACTTTAAGTCCTAAACTATTCCTACAGATAAAGGGATAAAACAACTAAAACTTTATTACATAAAGACAAAAGGTCCAGGGAAGAGAATATACTGGAAAGATACAAAAGTTTTAAGTTAGTGTCTACTTAATAATATAGCTCAAGAGTTGGCAAATATATGCAGAACTCAAAGGAGAAATATAAAATCCAAAATCATGATGGGAGACTTTTGATACCTTTCAGTAATTAGTGGGACAAGAATATTAAATATTAGTAAAGTTACAGATTTGAACACTGTAATTTAGTAAGCAATCTAATACATGGAACCCTGCACCATTGTATTAAGGATACAATTTTTTTTTTCCAAGCACACATGAAACATTTTCAAAAATTGACCTATACAATGTGAGATGTCAATTATATCTCAATGAAGCTGGGGAAGAAATTGACCATATGCCAGATCATAAAGTAAACCTTAACAAATTTTAAAGAATTAAAATCATACAGAGTATGTTATCTTGACTATGCAATTAAGTTAGAAATGAGTGATAAAAAGATACTTAGGCCATCCCCATTATATTCAGAAATTTACAAATACTTTTCTTAATCATGGTTCAAGAAAGAAAATATTTTGAACTGAATACTGTAATCAAGACCAGTGGGATATTGCTTAAGCAGTGCTTAGAGAGACATTTATAGCCTAAAAAGATACTTTAGAAAACCTGGTAATTAATCATCTAAGTACCATCTCAAAAAGTTAGAATGATCAAAATAAATCCCAAAGAAGTTAAAATAAAGTAATAAAAGGTAGACTTTTATGAAATAGGAAAACAAACACAATATAAAGAATCAACAAAACCAAATGCGTGTGTGTATTTTGGAAAAGACTAGTTAAACTGACAAGCCTCTGGTGAGATTGATCAAAACAAAAAGAACACCAAAGTCAGAATAAGGAGAGCTGTGAAATTTTCTACTCTGTGGACATGCACTGACCTCCCCATTCCCTGCTACTGAGAGAGTAGCAAATTCCTGGAGCAGCAATTCTGAGAACAGGCTGTAAAATAAGTGAGCCAAGTCACAAAGAAACACAATCCATTTCTGCAAGATTACAACATCTACATGACCAAAGCCCACCAAAATGGCAGTGAACATTGTGGCTTTAGTTTATTTCCCCTACAAACCCCAGCTCATTCCTCATGTTTGAAGAGACAGTTCCTTTGAGAACGTCCCTTGTTGCAACCATTTGAATAAAGCACCCAGTCCCTTGGAGCTGAAGTCTCATAGATTTCTAAAGTTTGATGTTACAAATGCTACAGGTATTAAAACACTTAAGATATTACAACTTTATTACAGTAAGTTAGAAATGTTATTTGAAATTTTAAAAATCCTAGAAAAGTGTAACTTACCAAAACTTACTAAGGGTCTCCCATCTTAAAGATGTGGAGTGTATGGGAAAGACAATGGAGTGAGTTACAGTCCTTAGGGAACTTGATGGAGAAGCCAGAGGAGAGAGGAGGAAGGGGTAAAAAGCAGAAAGGCAAAACCTTAATCAACAGTGAGTATGGAAAAGACTTCCATAGCACTCTCTAGTAATGAATTTGAAAGTGAAAACCTGAAAAATAATTTCTTTTTTTTTTAATTTTATTTATTCATTTGACAGAGATCACAAGTAGGCAGAGAAGCAGGCAGAGAGAGAGCGGGAAGCAGGCTCCCTGCTGAGCAGAGAGCCCGATGCGATGCGGGACTAGATCCCAGGACCCTGAGATCATGACCTGAGCCGAAGGCAGAGGCCCAACCCACTAAGCCACCCAG